ATTCGGAAGTGTTTGAGATATCCATCTCACACCATATAATTTATCTGACACTGAACCAGTTTTTTTTTTTTTCAAGAAAAGCCAAAGCCAGCAAGAACTTGATTTATTGGTACAATGCAGCTCACAGTGTTGTGTGTGTATATATATCTTGGAGTGATCTTTAATGTGCTGATTAGAATGGCTGTCATCATTGTTATTGTATCACAGTTCAATATACAAAGTCATTTAAAAGAGATTGATGCTCTGCCTCTCATACTGATGTTGTTATTCAGACTTTGACCTACTTTAATAATATAACGTTATATCAGAACATACTTTTTTTTGCAAATACCATTTTTAATTAATACTGCAGAGACACAAAGGCACATCCTAGTACCAGGGCGCCAGAGTTGGGGACAACCAGGAAAATTGTACTGGGCCCGGTGATAAGGGGTCCTGCTAAGGCCCTTTTAATGGATGGATGCCATGGATAACATGACAATCCCTTTGAGAGTGACACTCATACTAAAATATATTTAGCAGCTCTATATTTTCATATATTAAAACCTATTTATACTGTGTAAAAAAGAAAAAAAATAAGTGTGATATTATATTGTTTCCAAAATTAAATATAACTGGCTTTTATATTGTCACTGTTAACAGCAAGAATATCTGAAAATATTTACTTTATATTAGGATCACACTGAATCTTTTTTAACTACTCTAGTACTGTTAGATGTATAAACCTGAGAAACATTTTCAAATTTATGTGTATAGTGATTTCCAAATAAAAATATTTATTTAACATCTTAAGTTAACATGTTAACTTTAGTAGTGCTTACCATTCAAAAATTTGGGGTCAGTAAAAGTTTTTTTTGTTTGTTTTTTTTGAAAAAAATTTATACTTTTGTTTAGCAATGATGCATTAAATTGATCAAAAGTGACAGTAAAGACATTTATAGTGTTACAAAAAGATTTTATTTCAAATAAATACTGTTCTTTTGAACTTTCTGTTCATAAAAGAATCCTAAAAAATAAAAAATGTCTCATGGATTCAAAAAATTAAAAACTATGCAGCCCAACTGTTTTCAACATTGATAATAGTAGGATCATGAGACACTGAAGACTTGAGTACAAAATATTGGTTTAAAAATATTCAAATAGAAAACTATTGTAAAACTATTTCGCAATACAGTTTATACTGTATTTTTGATCAAACAAATGCAGACTTGGCAAGCATAAAAGTTACAAGAAAAAAACTTCATACTTTTGAATAGTAGTTTATGTGTTTAAAAAAAAAATTTCTGTCTAATTTCCATAGCCCACTAGCACTCGCTTGCAGCCTATGGGGGTCCCAGGACACCAGCCTGAAATGCCCTAGTAGAGCCAACACTTTGTGTTTGTTAAATGTTATTTTGTTCTCTCAGCTAAGATAACTGATGACATTATGAAACTGTGACACAGCAGACCCATGCTTCTCATGCCCAGCAGGGCTAATTATCAGAAATATAACTTGATCTGTTCTTCTGTATCTGATTGTGTGTTTTCCTCCTAGGCTGTCCTCAGTGATAGCAAGTCTGGGGCCTCTGTAGTGCAACATTTACAGCTTTTATCATTAATCTGTGATTGGATTACCCTTAAGCCATAGTGGACTCTTATGGACTCAAGAAATCCTGGCTACACGATGAAAATTGTTTTCTAACTTGAAAACCATGTATTAAACAGATGCGCTGTAACTGTATTTTTTATTTTTTTTAATGTTTCAACCATTCAATGTAAGACATGTATTTGTGTTTGTTTTTAGATTGCTTTATGAAAGTCTGTACACATTTTGCGGTTAATGTACGACAAATCAATGTGCTTTTGACATTAAATGTATATTTAACAGCTTTTTATTAGTACACACAGACTTTCTAGTTTAATTTTATATCCAAAGATGATGTCCGGATACTGACATACTCAGACTTGGCATTGCATTTATAAACCTTTAATGAAATTAAACATTCACTGTTTCATTGCATTTCAGTGCCTGACCTGTTGTGATTGAAGTTAAAAGGTAAAAAGCAAAGCGTTTTCATGGTGCTCCAGATGCATATCTGCTGCCTTGAGTCTTTCAATAATACATGCAGTGCTTAAAACAGGGTTATTTTAGTTAACGTAAGCTGGTCTTCAAGAACCAGAAAGCACACTAGGGAAAGCCGTTTTTATGCATTGTACGTGTTTTCTATTTATAGAGAGCTTATTTTGTCCTCCTTATCCATCATTTGTTTCTGATGGATGTTTGCTGTTTTGTAAATGCCATCAGTACGTCACTGGTTTACTGGAGAACAGACATAGTGACAGGCTGAATGCTATTCATCTCAGTCAGACAAAGAACATAAAATTCCCATTGGATCTGTGGATACTGCTCGAACAAACAGTGCATCAAAGCCACTAATTTTCATTCATTCGGCATCCACATTCATTTAAAACTACATGCTTTTTCATGACTCGTCATGTGCGCTAATAATTTCCTAAGACATATGAATGCAGGGCCCTTTCTAGCCAATTTGACACCCTAGGCGAAATCCCTGGCTCATTGGCGCCCCTTCAGCTGGTGGCGCCCTAGGAGACCGCCTAGCTCGCCTATGCCTAGAAACGGCCCTGTATGAATGCATTATGACATAAGCTTTACCTTTATCATGGATGTTTCAGGACAGCCTTCTTTCTAGGGTCCTCTGACTCCCCTAGAAAGAAAGAAAGAAAGAAAGAAAGAAAGAAAGGCCTCCATGAATATTAATAGTTTGTCTGAACTTTTTACCCTTTAGCAGAAATGTCCACAGAGACATCAGTTGGTTCTAGACAATAAACTTTGTCTTGCAAAAATCGGAATGAACTTTTCGTCACCCTTGTTTTAGAAACCACCTTTTCACAGATACTGCTGAGACAGGTTTCCCTGCAGGTTGCTCAATCATGCATGTGGCCTGAGTGAACCATTACCACACTGTCACTCACTGCATGTAGAGCCCTTGTCCTGTTCTCAGGGAGCAGAGGCCCCAGTCAACATTAATAAAATAACTTCTGCTTTTAGGAAAACACTCTCACACTAAGTCGTTTGGTCAAGCCTTGAGAAATTGTCTGCTGGAGGATCTGAATCACATCTGCATGCCAAATACAGGTTCAGAGTAAGGCTGGACTGGATCAATTGTTAATGGGCATGGAAATGTAGTGTCAGAAGGGGACCTCCTCTCTTCTTTACGGAGGGGGTCGTGGTGCCAGCAGCTTGTGCTCTGTTGTGAAATGTAGTGTTGTGGACATCTATCCCTGCCCCTTTGTTAATGCTGAATTAATGATTTTTCCCTCTCACCCCATCGAAAGATGATGATAGAAATTGCTTCGACAGACCCTGAATAATCAATTATATTAATGCAGGCCTGTGCTGGATATGAAGAGCATTTCTTTAAAAGGACGTAATCATCTGGCCTCAAGCACCACTGTCGTTCTGTGTGTATGTGTGAGTGAGTGTGTTTACAAAACTGTCTCCAGAAGTTGGTTAAACGTGACAGCATCCTTTTGGGGACATTCCCATTTGGAAAAAACTATTCATAAATAAAAAAAAAATATTTTTTAAGAATCCTAAGAATGTAAAAAGATTTCTTGTAGGGTTTAGGGTTAGTTTGTGGCCATTACTATTAACGTTATACCAAAAAACAGAACTCTAGTATGTTCTCTTTTAGATAACTAATGTGTTCTAACTAATAAACATGTGTGTGTGCTTGCTTAGCTACAGTTTGGGGAAGACATTGCGCCCTGAAGTTAGATACACTACGGTTCAAAAGTTTTGGGGTCAGTGAAATGTTTTTGAAAGAATTCTCTTAAAGTCACCAAGGCTGCATTTATTTGATCAAAAATACAGTTCAAACTAAAATTTTGTGAAATAATATTAGTTTCAAATAAGTTTTTATTTTATTTTAATATATTTTAAAATGTAATTTATTCCTGTGATGGTAAAGCTGAATTTTCAGCATCATTACTCCAGTCTTCAGTATCACATGATCCTTCAGAAATCATTCTAATATGCTGATTTGCTGCTCAAGAAACATTTCTTATTATTATCAGTGTTGAAATCAGCTGTACTGCTTATTATTTTTGTGAAAACTGTGATACTGTACATTTTTTCAGGATTCCTTTGATGAATAGAAAAGGAACAATTTATTTTAAATAATATCTTTTGTAACATTATAAATTTCCGTACTGTCGCATTTGATCAATTTATTGCATCTCTGCTGAATAAAATAAAATAAAAACTTACTGACCCGAAACTTTTGAATGGTAGTGTAAAAGAATTCAGAAATAAAACAATTTCAATAATTTCGGTAATCAATTAAAATAATTAATAATAACATTAATATATGATATATTCAATAATATCAATAATATATTTTCTTTATCATTCTAAAAATATTTTCTTTTATGGATTAGTCTGCAGTCATTATATTCAGATTTAGACAGAAACAGAAGTCTCACCATGTTGACAATTTGAATAGCAGCTTTAGATCAAAAAGTTTTAAATCTACTGATACCAACAGGTTTTTATGAGGATTAGGGGTGTAGAGTTATGATAAAGGTTTAACAAATATCATCACCTTAATAAAACAGTCCTGATTTCACTGTTCATAACTGAAAAAGTCATATTACACTGCAACAGCAAACAAATACAATCAACACAAATCGTGGCGGAAAAGTTCAATCCCCATGTGCATTTTCATCAGTTTTATCCATGCACACTCAAATGTCTTTGTCCTCAGAATCGCGTGATCAAGGCCAACACAGCAATCTGGAAAACAGACACGCTCATTGCACATCTTAAGACGGATCTGAGAATGGATAGGCTCTGCCAAAACAACATGAACGAATTGTGAGTCCAGTATGGGAATGTGCCACCTGGTGGTCGGAAAGGTGACGCGCTGTTTTCATTAAACTCCTCACCATGTGACGTAAGTCTGCCGGTTTATGTGTGTTTTTTTGTCACTGGTGCTGAAGAGTCCACTCCTTTCTTTCAGTTCTCCGACCAGAGCTGAGGAGACATTAACAGCCCTGACGACCTCGTTAGTGGCACCATTTAAACTAAATTTCCTATTTTCTGAGTGCAGTTGTGAGGTGATGTGGAGTGATGAACGAGCCTCGATATCAACTGTGTGACAACTATCTACACAACACATCAACCACACCGACGGATAGATGCAGGTATGGACGTTTAGTCTGTTCTAACGCCTCTACATGGCATTGTAAAGTTACAGTTAAACGTTTAAGAAGAGTCCATATACTTGTTCTGCATGACCGATGCGCTTAAGCATGCCCAGTATGAACAGAACTGATATTTACGGGCGCACAGTGAAGTATGATATGGAGAAACGCTATGCTTGGTTTCCGTAAACGCTTTTCTTTGGGTTGCGTTACGTTGATTAACTTATGTGTGTGATATGAATAGTATGGATATTAGCTATTACAGCGCAGACAGTGGGTTTTGTATCTGCTTTGTGTCGCATCATTATCTACGCCTCTTTTTCTTATTCTCAGCTTCAAGTGTGATTGCCTCAGTTATTAAAGTGATTTTTCACCTGAGATGTTACACTTTCTGTTGTTAACCGTGAGGCTGAAGATGTGATTTTCGAGTGGATGTGAATGATGCTGTGAAGAGCACCTGTGCATTGCATCAACAGGCTCCACAGCCCACAGGGACTGGAGTTGAGAGCTACATGCATGGCTTTTATGCTTAAATGTGAGTTTAGATTAACAATGAATAATGTCATTTTCGTCTAAAATTGAGTACTTCACATTTCATGAGTTACTGTACATCTGGTTTGATGTCTTATGTTTCCACTCAGCCTTTTCCCTCCTAGAATTTTTCCCCCCTCGCTAAGCTGTTGGTTGATTAACAGTAGGCTACTGCAATTGTACCACAATTCGTTCAGGTAGCTCGGACGTTTCACTGTTTGCATTACTCATCTTGTTTTTGTTCACGGCCTTCGGACTACAGTAGCCTATTTGTGGCGGCCAAAGTGGAACGAGGAGCGGGGTTTAAAAATAAATAAATAAATAGCAGTGTCCTAATTCAAGCGTGGTTGTGTCATTTTACCTGTAGAGAGTATCGGCTTTTTCGAAGTCTAGGTTTCGGTGTTTTCTCACGCTTCGTGGTCGCTCTGCACGGGTTTCTCTTGCGCGTGAGTAGGGAGCGTGAAAATGCAAAACCAGGAGTGGATTTGGAGTCGATTGAGTATTCCTAACTCTTTGAGCGCTCCGATCCACTATCCACTTCTGTTCCAGTCCGGCTGATATCTATACCGGTACCCCTAAAATGAACTTTTACGTTATTAAATTTATTAAATTGTTAAATTTAATTATTAAGACTAAAATAGGTAATTATACCCATTTAACATTAGATTTGAAATGCATTTTAACATTCAATACGCCTTAATTAACTTATTAGATAATAATTGTTTACACGTGGTTAAAATATGTTTACTGTAGTGGTAACCAAATCTACAAATACTATAGTTAGTATTACAAAAGGTCACTGTATAGTAAAACCATGTTTCACCCATAAAATGCAATCTTTTTATTCTGACAGTGTATGATTTATATTAACATTAGTTTCAGAATAGAACCTGATCAATATGAACTTCTAATGTTCCATTTAAATAAATGTAATTGCACAAACTATAGGCTTCAATTTCGATTTTTTTTTTTTTTTTTTGGTGAAATAACTCAAACATATTATGTTTTTCTGTCCTCTGATAAGAATTGTTCTGGACTGTGTTTCACAAAAGCATCAGTGGTTTCTTATGATACTTTTGGGAAACACAGCCCTGTTTGAATGCAGTGGCAGCAGTGAGCGAACACTCTCTTTGATTGATTAGTTCTGTGTTCAGAATGAGCAGGAAAATAGTTCTGTCCTACACAAATTTTCACTAACATATGCTATTCGTTCAATTCAATGCAAATTGTACGCATTAAATTATGAAAAAAATCACTGGCTTAAGAAAAAAACCCTTTAGTATCTATATTTTTTTTCAATATTGACATCAGTATCGATATATCAATACTTCCGTATCGATATGCCCATTCCTAGTTTGGCTTCATGTATACGAACCAACTAACGGCCCAATTATTGCCTGAAAGTTCATTGATATTAATTACTTTGTATAAGTGCATAATTGTAGAACTGAATTGTATAAATACAATGTTTTATGAGATTAATTTCTGTGGTTCAATCTGGCTGTTATTGTTGAAGATGATGAAATGAAAATTCACCCTATCTAAATGCATGTTATAACTGTTATTGTGAACAATTAATCCATACATGTTTCCTTTTCTTTAAAAAAAATTGACCTTGTAACATTTAATCGGAATGTAATAACTCAATCTTCCGGTGAAATGACAGACGTCTCTCTGGTTATGTATGCAGCTTGCGTTTATCTACCTCCACTTTTGAGTGTGATGCCCACATTTCAACATCCAATAAACAACTTGTGGATAGAATCAAGTCCCAAACCTAAATTTTTTCTTTTCCGATAATCCACTACACTTGGATGTACATCACAATACGTAAGAATAGATCTGTGGCTACTTCCGTTTCATTGTCACTTTGATATTAGCATAGCTGTGATAACCTGCAGCCTTGTGCCTATGCTGATATTCAGCACAACAGCATGCTTGTGTGATATTGCTTAAATATTTTATCCACTGATCCCTTTTTTCCCCCACCTTAAATCTATTTCACGATTAACCTCTTCGTGTCGTTTAACAGATTCAATTGAAGTGAATTGATTGCGCTTAGCTGGACAGAGAATAGAGGAGCTATTGAAGTGCTTGTGAGTCAAGTTCCCTTGAAGCAATTTACTTTCGTGTCCATCACCCCCGTGAAAACTGATGCGTGGAGGTGCGATTGGAAGATTGCTGTCGCCATGTGTGATTACACCCGAGGCAGTCAGCCTTCACACGTTTCCAGCATGGGAAAGTTGTATATCTCTTCAAAAAAAGAGAAAATAAATAATTTAATTAATTATATATATTTTTGATTATTTTCTATTTTAGGCGATAATCTGTACAGTGTACATTACATTTAATTAAAATTATAGCAACAAATTACATATAACTCTGTTTAGAATTCAGTATCAATCAAATCAGCTCCTTAAAAGTGAGTAATTCTGCAAATGGATTAAATAAAACAATTAATTGAGTTAAACAAATACAGTTAATTGGAATTAAAAGAAACATCAATCTTATTAATAGTACTAAATAACAATTTGTAATTGTAAGAATAATTTATTTAGATTACATAACTGAAGATCTCATTTATTTATGAGAAATGTACTAGTGACTAGCAAAGTCTTTGTTGTCTGTTGACCACATCACATAAATACGTACCACACAAACAATCATGAAATAAAAATCAAATGTTTAGAACATTTAGACAGGCAATGCTTGCAAATTGGCTTATTCAAATTGTGTTGGATTTTGTCAATTTATTGCAATCAGTGAATGATTATGCTCATTAGTTGTTAGTAAAAATTAGTAGCTATTATTTCAACCGGCTTTATATTCTGTTCAACTTTCCTTAAATGAAACAAAACAAGATCATTCTCTTAAATACAATTGACATATTATAATTTCATGAAATCTACAGAAGCACAGAATCAGTTTTACAGCCTGCATGATTAACTTGACTGAAGAATCATTGAAGGGGGTTGAAAGGCGTGTTGTAGATCACTGTTTCTAGTGTTGCACTCCTTAAGAGAATTGATTTTGGGTCAATTGTTTGATAGCTGCCTGCTGTAGCCATCTTCTCTGACTGATTATGCATTCATGTCATGTCAGAAAGATCATATTTATGAGTTGAATGACCATGAACACAACCACAAAATCGTAATTATGAGTGGAAAAGTTTCTTTAAGCCCCCAATTTCGAAGTTTGGGGCATGTCATTGAGAAAATATGTTGAATGCAATGGGTACAGCATATGTATTGACTGTTAATTTGTTGAAATTGGTGTTTTGTTGTTGGAAAACATATTACAATATTGTGCAGTTATGAATATATAACAATTCAATCAGCAGCACCTTCATAAATAAAATAAACCATAACATACAAAAACACATCATATTGGATCAATATGGTGATGTAGAGGTACATCACCATATTGATCCAACCAAAGTGACCTGAAAACACCATACTTCCCAACTCGTAAATATGAACTTTCCAGGAGGACATGAATGCACCATAACATTGCATTGCCCCTGTCCATGGTGCTGAACTCTATAGTTTGTTTCTTTTACAGATGTGACGATGCTTCTGCTATACTAGAGTCTACCTGCGATTTGAGGATTGTAATGTGAGTCCAGGTGCAGTCCCGTCATTTTATGCTGGTGGAGAGGAGCGAGATGCTTCACTCGGCTGCCATGACAACAGGACTTATCTTTGTTAGTTGGCTCTTGTATACGAGTGCACGGGGCAATCCCATTGTGTCGGTGCCAAAAGGTGGGGAGAAAGAGCGCTTAGAGCGCGTTCTGACCCAGGCAAAGGAGGGCGCACTGAGCCCTGGTGCAAAGCAGCGTCTGGAGGAGCTAAGTAATATTGAACTGGAGGGGATCAAGGGTGGGAACAAATCCAGTTCTAGCAGGACCAGACCCAACTTGAGTCCCTTGAGACGAGGGTCCAAAATGCAAGGTAAGACCCTTGAAGCATGGGGTGTGCAAGAATCGCTCAAGCAAACCGAAGAAGCGCCAACGGAAGAGGCCAACATATCCCTGGATGCGATCGATGAGTATGCGTACCCTGATTATAGGGGTAAAGGCTGCATGGACGAAACAGGGTTTGTGTTCGCCATTGGTGAGAAATTCACCCCGGGACCCTCCACCTGCCCATGCTTGTGCACAGATGAAGGTCCTCTGTGCGCCCAACCAGAGTGTCCAAAACTTCACCCTCGTTGCCTGCGTGTCGACACCAGCCAGTGCTGCCCGCGGTGCAAAGAGAAGAAAAACTACTGTGAATTTCGAGAAAAGATCTACTCATCTCTGGAGGAGTTCAAGGTTAGACCAACACATTAAGTGCTTCATTATCCATATGCCAGCTTTAACTAGGTTTATTCCTCTCTTTTTTCTGTATTCAACAGTGTCAGGAGTGCCAGAGTGACCTCTATTTTATGGCAGATTATGTGAAGTCTTTGCATTTAGATCTTTACTCATATGAATCTCTGTTCATTATTGAGTGGAATTGAATTTTTGTGGTCCAGTAGAGTTTTCTGTCCAGTTGAAGAAATCTAATGTGTGCACATCATGTCTTGATTATATATTGATTCCAGCAGGCCAAAAATTAGATTTTAAAATTGCACATTTTTTCATTTTTAATCCATCACTCTTCCTCAGCCCCAGACTTTCCCCAGGGAGGAGGCTCGCAACTAGATAAAATATTGTTTTTCCTGCATTTTATGCTCTGAAAGTGTGAGGAGTTCAATTATTATGCGAAACTAATGGAGACTTATCTTGCTTAGGCTGTGTTATGTAAGAGAAGACGACAGGCCTTTTTTCCCTGTAAGGCCTTATTATGATGCTCTCCAATTCCGCCTTAAGTGAAAAGCGCATGTCATCAGTTTCAGAGTTAGCAGCAGGTGCACAAATTATTCTTTTTGAACTGCGTGTCTCACCCCACAGTGTAGCCAAAGCCATTAGCTGCTTCTAGCTTATGCTCTTGATTCAGTTTTCATTGGCTCCTCCTGTGTCTTTGGAGTCCTTATCCAAAACACCTGAGCTTTATGGCGAGCAGTGAGATTTATTAATGCAGAAGTCAGCATAAGCGCTTTTCACAAAGACTGGTAATGACCAAGCACTGAATTTATTGGTTCTGCTCAGCCACACCTAATGCATATGCAGACTGCAAAGGTAACAATTAAACCCTCGGCAGAACGAAATGACTCCCGGTATCATATCTGTTTAGTCCCACAATGCGAGCCTCTCGGGGGGAGCTGCTGAACGAATCTGTGCTCGCCTTTGTTGAACTTTTCAATTTTAGAAACCCCCTGTGAATCTTTCTTTTATTTTCCAACTCAATTGGAGGTGACACATTGTCCTCTGTTTGATTTGTTGAAGATTGTCTCAGGAGATACTGTGTGCAGAAGGTTCTTTTTACAGAAATGCTAATGCCAGAAAAGTCTTTTGTATTTTATGCTTGGAAGCAGAGAAGAAGCAGTGAGCAAAACTGATCGTTTGTTCATATATACAGTATGTGATTTCTGAGACATCTGTGGAGACACATGAATGCTTGAGAAATCCACTGTGTGACAGAAAGACTCTGAATTTAACACATGAATACAGTTCAGTTCAGGTTCATAAAATGCATATGGCTGTTTCTTCAACTATGGGCACTTTGGGTGATGTGGATTTTTAAAAATGAAATTTTTTTGAACTTGCTACTTGATTTAATTCGTCTTCTAACAATGTCCAACAGTATATATACATGAATAACAGCAAAATTCACTGTACCATAATTTACACTACATCTGAGATACCCATTCATGCAAATGAAGGTGTTGGAAATTGACATTTTAAACATTTATGGAATAAAATGGCAGACTCTTTCCCCTAAGGCTAATTTCATAGCTAGCATTTTATGTATCGTAGATACAGACATCTGAAAATCTTCCAGATTGTTTGCATACTTTGACAGAATGCAACTGTTAAAAAAAATTCTGTTTCTTCACATGCTGGGTAAATTCTTAGTGGCAAATTTGTTGTTTGTAATGGAAAATATGCTAAAGCAGAGGGACAGTCATAAAGTATGTAAAATTTCATATTTATATAAATCATTGGTAACACTTCACAATAAGGTCCCATTAGCTGATGTCAGTTCATTAAACTAACACAATGAGCAATACACACAGTCAAAGTATTTATAATCTTTTGTTAATAGTAATAATAAAAATACAACTGTTCATTGTTAGTTCATGTATAACTCAGGTCAATTAAATAAAATTAGCAGATACAACTTTTGATTTTAATAATGTAGTCATACATATTAATATTTACATTAAGATAATAATGCTTTAGAAGTAATTTTCATTGTTAGCTCACGTTACATGTTGTTTCCTAATGTTAACAAATGGAACCTTATCGTAAAGTGTTACTAAATTATTTACACACAATAAAAATAGAAATGGTTCATGTTTCACGCTTTATTTGGATAAAGCGGATTCTCATATTTTAAGATCGAAAGCCTGAGTCTGAGAACAGGGTAAAACAATAAAATCTATATTTAAAAGACACTGGAAAATAGCAAATATAAATGAAGGCATGCTTAATGAATGGGCTCGAGCGTAAGGTACAACTCAGAGTTCCCTATGGACATAAATATGGAAAGAAAGGTAGGGAGATGAGCAATGCCAGAGGAATTGCCAGAACGAATTAGGTAAGCATTATTAATATACTCCAAGTGCTATGACTGGCAGGATTGTACGAGCGTGCTCATCAAATAAACTGAACACTCATCAGTTCCCACAAAGAAGCACACCTCAAATCAGAGCTCTTGTTCTTCCTCTGATGATTAAACCACATATCAATCGTAATAGTATGATGAATGTTGCTACAGAAGATTTTGTTTCTCGTCTGGCTGTGTTTCCAGGTGTCTCCATGCGAGAAGTGCCGTTGTGAGCCCAGTGGAGAGGTTCTGTGTTCTGTGTCAGCTTGCCCGCAGACTGAGTGTGTTGATCCGGAATATGAGCCTGACCAGTGCTGCCCGGTGTGTAAGAGCGGTAAGTGCTCGTGTTCTTCCAGCCTTCCTCTCTCTCTCTGTTCTCTCCATCCCCTGAACCCCCGCTGTGTCCCCCAGGAGCGAGAGAGAGGTAGGTAAGAATCGCTTCTGTAAAATGATCACAGGGACTTCTGTCCACTTCACCCAATTACCATACCATGAAGAAAATTCACAGAAAGTATGCACAGAGCCGCAGATCTCATCGCCTCTCATATGGCCTACGTGTGCATCCATCTTATAGTTCTATGATAGCCAGTTTACCTCAGTGAGGTCATGCAAACCCAAGGAGATTATATTTGTCTGCAGGCCTTTGTTTAAGATAGTTGCCGGAATGCATTATAAAGAGAGCAATAGCACTAATGAACCTGCAAAGTTGCTCTGCTTGTTTCCAGGAGGTGAGGTGATTAGCGCAGGCAGGTGTTTCGGTTGCAGTCTGCTTTCTCCAGCTCTAGGGCACAGATGATTAAACTTTTACACATGTTTTTTTCCCTCCATTTGGCTGGAAATACAGAAGTATAAGGTACATAAATGTACTCCCTCATCAAAGCACCCGCTGCAGAGAAGGAAGTATTTTCAAAGCCACACTACATGAAAAGCACCCTTGCACGGCAGCCTTTTTTTTGCTCTGTTACAAAATCTAGTGAGCTGCCTACAGAAGCAGCATTTTAAGAGATGTTCAGCGTGCGCTTGACAAGAAGGCTGTTCTGAGATCTGAGATACCTTCTTTTGGATAAATTCTTAGGCAGTGTATTATGTGCATATTTTACAGAAAAGGCCATCCTATAATGTGTTGAACTCAACAAAACAAATCAAATCCAAGATGGTGGACGATTATCAATAAACTTTTTCAAACTCTTCATTCAGAAAAAGTATTGATAAAATGGTAACACTCTGCAATAAGATATCATTTATTAACATTATTTAATGCATTAAGTATTATGAACAACTAATAATAACATTTTTTTTTTTTAATCATTTATTAATCTAGGTCAGTATAAATTTACTTATGTACTACCATTTAAAAGTTTGGGGTTGTTACAATGCTTTTGAAAGAAGGTGTTTTTTGTTTTGTTTTTTGTTTTTACCAAGGCTGCATTTATTTGATCTAAAATACAGTAAAACAGTAATTTTGTGAACTATTATTACAATTTGAAATAACTGTTTTCTGTTTTCATATATTTTAATATGTATTTTTGTCCTGTGATCCAGCCATTTATTAACATTATTTAATGCATTAAGTATTATGAACAACTAATAATAACATTTTTTTTTAAAAATCATTTATTAATCTAGGTCAGTATAAATTTACTTATGTACTACCATTTAAAAGTTTGGGGTTGTTACAACAAAACAAATTTGTTTTGTTTTTTGTTTTTACCAAGGCTGCATTTATTTGATCTAAAATACAGTAAAACAGTAATTTTGTGAACTATTATTACAATTTGAAATAACTGTTTTCTGTTTTCATATATTTTAATATGTATTTTTGTCCTGTGATCCAGCCATTACTCCAGTCTTTAGTCACATGATCCTTCAGAAATCATTCTAATATGCTGTTTTGCTGCTCAAAAAACGTTTCTTATTACTATCAATGTAGAAATCAGTTTTTAATCAGAATTCTTAGATGAAAAGAAAGTTTGAAAGAACAACATTTATTTGAAATTAAATGTTTAAAAACAATTTTACTTTACTGTCACTTTTGATTTTATATGTTCTAGTTGAATAAAAGTATTAATCCCCCATGAGCTAATGTTAATTTATGCATTTTGAAATGTAAAAACATATTAATATGGATAATATTTCGTCAAAGACGAAAAAGGGGTTTCAAGCATTAAAAAAATAAAAGTGTAATACAGCTTTAAATTTAGTTTTTTCCTCATACATTAGAATGTATCCTGTTAAAATGTATGTTTTTCTAATGAAAAAATAATGACAATCATACATTTTTATTACCATAATTTACAGAAGACACCTACTAAAATGTCATTCAGTGTAACAATATTTATATACCAAAAATTCTTGTTAGACATTTTATACAAGAATTATTTGATGACAAATTAAAAAAACTTTATTTAAGGATCACAGTGCAGATTTAATTTTTAAATCTTCATACTTTGCTAATGTCCTTCAAACCACTAGGTTTTTTGTCAGCAAATAAGTTTTTGTAAGGAAGTGAAAGTCATTTCAAATATAATAACATTTAGTGTGATCACATATTCTTTTATGTATTTTAATAAGTACAGGTCAGAATAAGTACATTGTGTACATTTTTATATAAATATATAATGGTTACGCTGAATGACCATGGTTTGTTACTCTGAATGACGTTTTGCCAAAGAGGGAAATAATATTGTCATTGTTCCCATAATTGCAATGTTTTAGTCTGTATCATTAAATTTGTTTAAATAATATTCCTGAGTAAATGACAGCAGAAGCAAATGTTGAAAAGTAATAAGCATTTTATTCTACTGTTCTGATGCTCCCCTGCCATGCTTGCTTAGCTTGTCACTTTGTTTCTGACTTGTTTGGCCTCAAACATTGCTGCTTGCAGGTATATTTATGAATATCTTCTGTTTGCCAACATACCGCAAATGACATTATCAGGATGAGTATTTTGGGTGGAGAATCCTCTCAATGGCCTCTACTGAACTTGTGACATACTGTAGTGAGGGGGGAGTCTCTGTTCAGAAATATTGGTAAGTTATTATTCTCTATCATTATAGTTATCTTTATATTTATTGTTCTTGGCGTGAACGGGCTTTAAGAGTGCCACCCAAGCTACTAGGTCTACATTTACTTTATTAGCTTTTTGGCTTTTTACAGTGCCTAGCAGCTCTTTCTGTTCATGGGCATCTAAAATTAATCAATAACACAAACTAAACAATACGAAAATGCATTAAAATATAAATATTTACTAAGTTTAACATATTTGTCATTGCTAAATATTCCCAATTTATCTGTAATATAAATAAAATGCTAAATTTGTTATTTATACAGTGAAACTGTCATTCAGTTTAATAGATGTCACTGTGGCGTAACAGAGAATTTGCATTACACCAAATGACAAAAACATTACCCTGAATGACGAAACTTCTACTTCAGCTTATATTGGAGGCAATCAACTGGCCATCTATTTCAAACAGTGAGCTTGACCAGTAATGCTAATCACAATTATTCACAACATCTACTTATTTTTCAATAAATCTAACAATAAAAGTGTTTTTTGGCATTTCACTGAATGACATGTGTTTTTGTAACTTAGGTTACCACACCATGAAAAGGTGAAATGATCAAATATTTAAGAGCAATAAACTGACTTTTCTGCAGCACCACACAGTCTTCAGGGTGCCATTTGATTATTTCACAGACTGCCGCATGCTTTTATATGCTTTCCGAATGGCTTCTTGTTCCTGTTACACTGAATGATCTCTGATAAATTGCATTTTCAGGACAAAAGTCCCCTGGTTATTTAAATACTTAAACAGTAAGACATATTCCTTTCAATATAACAGCCAACACTTATTTGAAAATGCCAAGAAAACAAATATATTTTTAAGCTTGGTATTTTATGTTTATTTAAAGATGTAATGGTAAAATCAAAGTCCGGACCATTACACTGAATGACAATTTTACAGTTTAGAACATTATTTCCCCCATATTTACAAAAGTTATTTGAAATATGAAAGCAGACACTTTACTTGCATTTAACATGTTTTTTATGTATTCAAAATTACTTATAAATTTAATTTGATGCGGACACCAAAATGGTGACGTTTCCTCTTTGACCCATGTATAAATTAAGATTGACGTGCTGTTATTGTTCCTCTTTACTTAATGATACCAAATGCTTTAACCAATGTTAACAAATTTATCCTCATTGTAAAGTCTTACAGATTAAATACAGTTCAATGAAACTAAAAATAAATTATTTCATTGTAGCACTGCTCTGTTAGCATAGCTTCATCATGTGTTAATGAAATCAGTTGAATGAGGAACACTATTTGTGTGATGACAGTTTAGACAGTGAGGCAACACACTAGGTTTCTGAACAGACCTTTTGTCTGCCTTGTGCGTGCTGTTGTTCTCTTTTTGGCCAGAGGAGTGTTTTTCAGGCAGGGGGAGAAAAGAAAAGCGGTGACCTCGGGTTAGTGTGTGAGTGTTCTGTGATTGGAACACATTACAATGTCTTGGGAGAAGTTTCCTGAATCAGTGTGGGTTATATAGAGCTGTTTGAGATGCTTTTAGACAGCATGTCCAAGGCTGTTGCTTCTTGTGTACGCCTGGATCCTGATCTAATATGGCACCGGCAGCCACGCTGCCTCTTTCAGCAGAAAAGAAATGATGACTTGGTAAATGGATCTCTGACTCGGCAGCTAAACTCTCAGCGTAGTGTGGACAATTGGGGGAAGGGTGATGTGGGGCAATTATTTTAAAGAGCACACATGTTTAAATGGATCATCTTGGCATTTGCTGAGATGCTGCCAAGACTCCCTGATCAAACATCTCAGTTGGTGTTTGGCTGTGAGATGGAATCCAAGGAACAAAAGCTCAGCTCGGCTCCGTTGCGCTTGCTAGATAGTCTGCAATTTGATTTCATCTCGGAATTGTTCCGATATTTCATTAAAGTCGTGCCGTGGTGAATTCAAACAGTTTTACAAATGTATGTGCACAATCAAGCAGTCAAGCTGTATGGTTTTCTGATGGATTGGAAACCTTTTTGCTCAACGCACAAGATTACAGCCTCCTAGTGATTTCACGGCATGCCGGAATACCGCGGCTCAGCTCGGCTCCGTTGCGCTTGCTAGATAGTCTGCAATTTGATTTCATCTCGGAATTGTTCCAACAGATAAAATCACTCTAATACTCTGTTTGTGTTTCCTGTGGTTCTTGCTCATGTCTTGTGGGGGTGGATCACAGAGAGACACGAGTGTGATGGGTGGCACCTCTGAGGCTTTTGCTGCGAATGTCTGAGGTACAAAGACTCCTGCACAGATGCAGTGC